GGAGAAGGGGAACATGTGCCAGGCTGGCGCGCTCACTTATTGGGGGATTTGGAATCCTCTTGTTCTTGTCCTTGTCCTTCCCAAGCTGACTTGTCCACATCTTAAAATCATTCCTTAGACAGGAGCCCTGAGCACACTAACACCAACATTCCAACACATCCGAATGGCATCGCTCACCTCACCATAATTCAGTGGTGTCAGCATTTACATTGGGGAGCTTTCGAGCTCCACTGCAAACAAGCATTTGGAGCTGAGGTCTTTGAGGTTTCATTTTACATGTATTTCAAAATAGGTTAGCATGTTGAAAAATTGAAGTTCCTGGATTTGGATACACTTGTGAAATGGTGATGGCTTTGTGTGGTATGTTCAAATATCACTTACTAATAAATAGTACAGAAGACACGTGCGAACGTTTTTAATACTATATGGCTAGTGTCTAAGCAGTGTTAGCCAATACACACATATTACGCATAGGTATTATGTGCATGGTATTAATACAATATATATATTAACTGAATGTTCCCACAATTCTGTTCACCCATGTTAAGTATCCCACAACACTTTGCAAAGCTGAAGTCAGCTTTGGCATTAGAAGATAGGAAGCCTGTCAAAGCCAAGATACATGAATGCTGCATCCTAGCACTGGTTGGACTGTATCTCTATACCCAACTGGTTTGCAGTGTAGTGTCCAAAACCAAGATAAGAAAAGTACAGAACAAAATAACGAGTTAAGGAATTATTATGAACTGGTGAGTTGGATTTTAGTGGCTGGTATAAACACTAACTGAAATGCGTATCTATGAAGCAGGGTGGGTGAGGAAATATCTTATTGGTCCAACCTCTGTTGGTGAGAGATACAAGGTTTCAGAAGTTGGTCCAATAAAAGATATTACCTCACCCATATATCCTTGAAGTGCACCTTCTGTAGAAGGTGAACACACTGCAAGAATGCGCTTCCCAAAAGAGGGTCTGTATGTCTCCATTTTGTATTGTTCTGCTTTGTCTTTATGCAATACATTCGGCTATGTTTCGTTACTTGGTCTTGAACATTTTTAAGAATGAACTGCAAATGTAGTCAAACAATCGGCTACATCCTTTAGTCAACAGCACCTTACATAGAGTAATTGGAAAGGTATTTGGGGCAAAGTTATAGAACAGCCAGAGAGGAGCAGAGAGCATGATGTACTTAAAAATATATATATAGATGTATATTTTTTTAAATTGATATTTGTTTATTTTAAAATCCTGCCCAGGTCATCACTTTAATCGCTTTCCAAAGACAAATCATCTGCTATATCCATATGATCCTTCTCTTGACTATGGGCAGGGGTGGCAAGTTGTATGGGCCCGTGGTGCCTGGGCTCCAGCAATATTCAGGGCCCCGGGTCCCAGCTCCACCAGTGTTCGGGGCCAGGTCTCTCCCCCGGCCCCACTTACCACCCCCCGAGCGTCCCTGCCTGTGCCCTGGGCAGCGGGCGGCTGCCCCCTGCAGCTCCCTGCTCTGCCGGGTCCCAGCATCAACTGCAGCCACACGGGTCCA